TACTTGAAATTGGCTCCAGGCCGTAAAATAGCGCGCACCAATGAGCTTGTATGAGCGCGCTGACCGCCAAAATTCAAAAGTAATCCATAGTTCCGGTTCCCAGCTGGCCTGGTGAGTTTTTTTTCTTATCCATTTGATTGCGAATTATTTTGTTTGTTTTTGTTGAGTTTGATTTTGTTTTGTTGAGTTTTTTTTTGTTGTGAGGAAATTGCTCAGGATTCAATTTCTACGGTTTCATAGGTAGCTTTTGCAATGGATTCTTTTCTAGATTTTGCGGATTAGTGGATTGGGATTTATCTAGACCAGATGAGGAGGGTTGGTGGGCGAAGTGTCTTGAAGTTTTTTGTGAGGAAGGAGGAAAAAGTTTCAGCAATATTTTTTTAGTTCTTGGCCTAGGAATAGTTCGATAGTGCCTAGTTCTATTTATTGTCATCTACATCGTCCCTTTTGAGCTTCTTTTCACTTGTACCGTGTATCACCGCTCTCTCCACTTCAACATGGGCCATGCGTTTACGACCCCCCCCCTCCATCGCGGGCAAATACGACCCCCCTGTTGTGATGATCACAAAGATGGCGTGCCCTGCATGGAGGGCAGGAGATCCCTGAAATGCAGTTTAGTACCTTCCTTTCGCCTATGTCCTCCCAAAACACTAGCGAACAGCGCCGATCGATACTCGCCCATGGCTACGTTCCCATCTATAGCAGTGAAGCGATGCTGCACTGATAGCGTGTCGACGCGCGTTATTGCGAAGTCTGAACGTTACCCAAGCATGACGAAGCAGCTAATACGATGATAATCAGTGCCCCTTAAACCCATCCTTATATGTCCCACTGTATGGCACAGGCGATGTTTTGTTCCCCTTTGACTGATGTTTACAATCAAGTAAGGGGGTTTAAAAAGGGTACGACCGATAAAGTGAGGTGTTGAGGGCAGGACAGTCACAGAGTGACTGCGCGACAGAGGCGGTACTCCGGTGAGAACAGATCGAAAGGTATCATTTGCCATGCAAAAAGTGGGCGTGGTTTCTGAGAATGTACCCGAGTCGGAAGGCGAAGGTATGCTGCACCTCATGCTATATACCTGTGGTCCGACGTGGGGCCCTATTTACTGAAAAATAATTTCAATTTAAGGACAAACTGTACAATCACGTCCTTGCCATATGGGAAAAAATGGTTGGTAGCTCTACAGAAGTGACGCTTTCTCACTTGGGAGCTGAACCGGGTGCCACTCCACTCCTCAAGGTGAACCTTTTGTGTCGATACCAAAATCCCGCATCGAACACGCTGTCAAGGATAGAGAGCAACGGGACGAGAGAATAGGGATTCCCCAACGGCAGTCAGATAACTCACCCTCGAGCCCCATTCCCATGCTATTTTGGTCTAACAAAGTGGTACGCTGCTGCACCTGCGGACCCGTTGGCCTCCCACATGGTAAGAGCGAGAATCCTCGAAGGTGAGTGTACAGTTTGCCTTCAACTTCACCTCATCGTTTGAGCACATAGATCAATAAGCTCATCAGTGCCGACATTCTTCAGTCGGGTGGTGAATCGGAACGCCTTTATGGTTTCGTTCGCAAAACGAAGTACGTCGTAAGAATATCTATCGCTGGCCATAAGAAATCCACGTAAATTCTCAGCGAAGCCCTGAAAATCATTCAGATCAATATCAGCTTGGAATATGTCAATTTAACTAAGAAAAAGGGCCCACCTTCTCGTCGTCGACGATACCTTGCCATGCGTCCACAAAGCCTAGCTCTCCCATGTATTTCTCGAATGCGAAGTACCAAAATTCAGTACTATTTCGACCAGCAGAACAGGGCGTACCCTGAATCCAGTAATCAATAAGTCAATAAATAAACTGATCAGTGGCTGGCTCCATACCTCAATTTCTCTAAGAACTCTTAGGAATGGCTCTCGTTCGGCAGCAATGACCATCCGAGGTGGTTTCATCACAGCAATATCCATTCGGGTGATGTCTTCCGGGAAGTATTGCTTCCGAATTTCAAGAAAATGACGAGGACGCGACTTGTCCAGCACGATATTGATCAGCTGAAAACTTACTCGGGAAAAATATCAGAAAATCATTCATTATCCAGCACTCAGAGCTTCGGAGTGGGCCGGGTCTATCACTTGCTTCGCCCTCGTTAAACTGACCTGATTGTTCATCAGTTTTGAATAACAGGTTTTAAGAGCCAGGCAATAATTATTGGTCTTTTTTTACCATCAACAATTACGTACTTGCAGCGCCGCTTTCGTCGCGCTTGCTGTGACACGCATTTAACGGCATACATCCGCTGCGGGTCGACAAGTGCAATCGGTTGCAGGCGGTGTCACGTGCGCGACAGTCGCACCAGAAATGAGCAGGTCCACCGTGAAAGTTACTGCAGCATGTTGAGTAGATTATCTGAGCATTGGTATGCTATATTTAGTTCCCGCTCTTTGCCGCATGGAATTTCCCAACCAACAAAGTGACTCTGAAAGATCAAACTCAGGGACTTTTGCGATCCGATCGCAGCCACCGTGACGCAAAGGCAATGGTCGCCGTCTGTGTCACTCCCTCCAGCGAACACGACCCCCGTTGGAGAGTCAAGACGTAAGGCGTGCTTTGAATGAGAGACAGACGACAAAGGGCGAGAGAGTACACGGACGAACAAGAGCTCTTCTTGGTTATCTTGGTGATC